AGAGTACTGCAGAAGTAATACTCTTTTGAGTATTGGTGATCCGTTTCTCACTAGATGATGTCGTTTCTTCATTAGATGTAAAATGTAACATGTTGTGCAGCAGCTCACAGGCTGACCTGTGAAGCTGCCCTTGTGCTTCTATCTCCTCTCCTGCATCCTCCAACTCTTTGGGCATGTGCTAGCACGTTGCATAAATTCAGAACCAATTTTACACCACGTTGCCTTCGCTTCACTTCTCCAAACACAGCCAGACCACAGTATTCAAATCCAACTCTACTCTCATCCAGTTTAAGAGCAGTAGACCAAAAAAATACAAAATAAAAAATAACACTCTGGCTATCAGTATGCGTCCTTTTTATTCAGACTTAATAGAACTTTTAATCATGCCCAAAATCTTTATGATGCAATCAAATTTTTATGAGCCACAGCGTTTTATTTTTAGTAAGGAAAGGAGAGTTTATCTCCTGGCTCTGCTCAGCATTTATCAAGGAGTTATGACTGTCTGGAGAACGTGAAATAAAGAATATGCTGTATTTTTATTTGGCAGTAAACGTTGTGTAACAGGGACATGACTGGATTGTATTTATAGGCCAAGAAATTATTTTTAACAGTTTACGTCCCATTTCCTACTTGTGTTTAGGACATTTGTGAATGTAAAATGCATTTCTACTATGAATTTATGTTGTTTGTCATTTTTCCTTTTTTTTCCCAGTGGTTTTGGCAACTCTTACTTTTGGTGTTAGTTTTTATATTGTAATTTAATGTGAGAAAATAAGATGTCTCAAATTCAGTTTATAGGTTGAAAGGCTGTTTACTCTATGGGAGAGTCTCCTGACTCTGCTAGCACCCACACAAGGCTAGTAACAGTTCTGGCCTTCAGAATAAAAGCATTGCAAAAGTCTTTTACAGGAAGAAAAGGTGAGTTTGTGGAGATTTTTTTTTATTTGAGATTTCTCAATGATAGGTAAAGCCAAAAATTCGCGAAGAGTCAATGTCTGACTGACTAATGCCTTCTCCTAACTGGGAATCTAATAGACTAGCAAAGTCAAAAAATATATTTCCCTCATGATAAAATATAATACCTATCATGTATGGGTAGATACGCATAGGAGTATGTTCTTCTTTTCGTAACAGATATTTGTGTCGACACATTTCAAAGAGGTGCTCCTTTGAGACGGCTATGGGCCTCAACATATTTTTATGTGTGTGAATGGTTTGAAAGATACCAACTTTTTCATGAATTCATGACCATTTTTTGTAATAATACACTTTTGTATTTTTAACACAAGCACCGTCCAAAACGGTCAAATTTCACCTATATATTGATCAACATAATAACCTCTCATCTACACAAATAAATCCACTTTCTGTTTGGCCTTCCAAACCCAGAAGGTTCTGCTCGGTGCTTGTTGACATACCATGAAGATGAAACATTCAAACAGCCACTCTGTCCCAAGGTCCTAAACTCTCTGCGTAAAAGCCAGACTGCTGAATTCCTCACTATCTACTTGAAGACTCCATGACTTTTACAACTTATAAGTTAATTAATCTAGTGCAATGAATGAACAAGATGTTTAAATCAAATGTTTGAATAATCTGTTCTTAAACCATTGATGGCTTTGAAATTAATATTGTTCTTACAACGATCCATTTCAGATCTTATGATCAGTATGTGTTTGATTTAACAAGTTAATCATTGTTTACACTCATACACATAACAATAAGATACTTATTAAGGTTAATATTCACCTCACATAAGAGTTTTAAAGATTCTTATAGTGTTAAGAAGTCTTTGTATCTGAGGAGGCGTGGCTTTCTGAGGGATGTTGGTAAATACTCAGAAATGTGTCAAATTCTGATTTGCCAAAACTTGAGCAAAAGTCATAACATTGTGGTTTAATAAAACAATAATTACTTCCCGAATAGTTCAGTTTCCAGCTGACTCCCGATTCGGCCAAATCAGGAAAGAAGCATCTCTTTTGAAACCATTTCCTTTGACCTCAAGTCAAACCCTTTCTGCGATGCTGCAAGTGAATAGAGACACAACAGATCTGTTCAGAGCTACTTCAACTCGCAGACATCCACCTTGGACACCTAATCTGCAGACTTTGGGTTGCATCTCATGGCCGGGGAAGCTGAACTCAGAGGAAGGTACTAATCTCTGAGTATTGTTGTTTCGACGTCTGGTGACCTCACCACTCTGACCGCACCCCTCCGGACTGCCGGGAGCAACTCATACCAGAGTATCGTAGCCTGCATACTGGTGTCTGATGAGGTTTTTAATCAAAACAACACTCTAGTTGTAAACAACAACAAATTCAGCCCAGACTTCACATGTTCTCTTAGATACAAAGCTTCCATTACGTTTCACACATCACATTAACTCACTCCATATTTATTACACCACATCTCATTATTCATATCTTGTCATGCATAAATTGTTAGTTTAGGAAAAATAATTAAATTAATTTTATAAACTATATACTGACTTTGAATTATTACAGTGTGTTTACGGTCCCTGAAGAAGCAAAGAACCCTAGATTCTTCTGATTAAATATTCAAATATCAATCAGATTGATATTTCATATTTATATGGAATCATCACATCTTATTGGTCATAATTAACAAATGCACTCCACTACACACAACAAACATATTGCAAAATTTCTGCTATGGAATTAAACACCAGTTTTAGAATCATTGCATTGGCGCCCCGTATGTTTCAGGATCAATTTTAAGGTTCTTCTAATGGTTTTTAAGAGTCTTAACAGTCTTGGGCCTTCTTATCTATCAGAACTGCTTTTACAATATGAACCCTCGTGGCCTCTGCGCTCCTCTGGCAGGCATCTCCAGGTCATCCCTAAAGTCAGGACACACACTCACGGCGAGGCGTCCTTCCAGTGTTATGGCCCTCGCCTCTGGAACGAGCTGCCAGAGGTCCTCAGGGCCGCAGAGAACGTTCATGTTTTTAAGTCAAGACTCAAGACCCAGCTTTTTAGGTTAGCTTTTATCTAAATATTTACCTCAGTTTTATTTCTCGTTTTACATGATTATATTTTATTACTTGCTTTGCATGTTCTATATGATTATATTTTAGCACAGTTTTATTATTTAAATTATTATTTTACTGTTTATATCATTTTATTTATTACTTATTTTCTAATTTTTGTCCCTTATATTAGCTCTTTTATTACATTTTTACTCATTTTAATCCAGTGTTTCCGCTGTAGGGGCCCTCTGCCCTGGGAGCGGTGGTCGACTGTAGCTTCCTGGGCGCTCTATAGGTGGGGGTCTATGCTCCCCCTCCACTGAGCGCCCTGACTTAGTGTGGAAGACCTGATGCTGCCGGGACAGACGGCTCCTCTGATGGCGTTTCCTTGCCTTACCTTACTGGGCTCATCTGGACTCAGCCTAATATAATTTTTACTTGTGTGTGTGTGTGAGTCTGTGTGTGTGTGCGTGTGATTGCATATGTTTGTTAATGTTTTTAACCTGTTATGGGAATCTGGGGTCATTTTGTAAAGCACTTTGAATAACACTTTGTTTGAAAAGCGCTTTAGAAATAAAATGTGATTGATTGATTGATTGATTGATTGAAACAGATCAAGAATGAGGAATAAAATGGCACCTGGGCAAGGACAATAACTTTTCAATAAAGCATAACATTTTTTAACCTTTTTCATCAGATTTTTGTCTTATTTCATTTGATTTTTAAACTTTTTTTTCATCTGATTTTTGAACGATTTTATAATCTAATTATTGGATTTTTTTCATCAGATGTTTGAACAGACTTATATAATATAATATAACACACACACACACACACACACACACACATATATATATATATATATATATATATATATATATATATATGTGTGTGTGTGTGTGTGTGTGTGTGTGTGTGTGTGTGTGTGTGTGTGTGTATATATATATATATATATATATGTGTGTGTGTGTGTGTGTGTGTGTGTGTGTGTGTGTGTGTGTGTATGACAAAACTGGAGCTTTATAACAATTTGTAACAGACAAAAAATTGTGTCTGTTACTATTTTCCCCACAGTTTGATAAGTAGGAAAAAACTGTTGGTATCCAACTGAGTCACTCCCCCAATTTGGTAGTACTCCTTTAGCTTTAGCTTAGCATAAAACAATGCAAATAAATGGTTGGAACTAGCCTTGAGTGTGGATACAGTCATTAAAATGACTCAATAGTGATTCTAATTCTGCTTGGTGACCACAATAATCATACTGATGGCAAGTGGAAATAATGAGTAACATAAAGGATTCACCATTTTAGATTGGGACTACTTTACGACAAAGCTAAGCATGGTGCTCACACACACAAGCACACAAGAAGCAGCGTAGCTCCACTTTTTTCTATGCCTTAGATGCCATAATAATGCAGGAGTGGCATTAAAGTCCCTCTGCAGACCTGTTTGTTTTTTTTAAACTAGCAATACTTAAAACTACCTTCAAACACATGTACTGCCCCCTAGTGCCAGGAAACTACACACTGCCACTTTATCAACTTAGGCAATCAGCTGTGCCATGTCTGGTAAAGCCAACTCCTATAATTTCCATTGTTAATTTAACTTCCCAAGACTTAACTGTATGCAAATCCCATCATTACCACTCAGAGTTTGTGTTTTGATACAGCACTGGCGTGACAGTACAAACAACGCTTCTCACATCTTTTTTGCCATCTCTCTATCACATCTTTACTCACAAACACAACAAAGAATGTGACAATTTAATTGCAAAATTGAGCTTCACAGACAAAATGCCCACAGATCAAAGCAGACGGGTGAGATGAATTTAAAAGAAAGTCTGTGAAGAATTAATCTGCAAATTTTGGCCAAGCTGAATAAAGCTGGCTTTGTGTCTCACACACATCCTTTCTAAGGGAGATGATTACCCTGGAAAACACAGTGAATAATTATCACTAAATAGCATGCTTTAATTAAATATCTTCTTTTTGTCCTAATGCCTCACTGCCAGCAGCTGGAGGCATGTATGGTCCCCAGGGGGAGTCGGGTTCAGAACCTGAAGACGACACTCAGATGAAGTTTTACACAGAGCAGAGTAGAGGACAAAGGCGCAGTAAAGGTAAGAACAAATAACAGGTGTGTGATTTTTCAGTGTTGTGATGAATGTGTCACACACCTTTACTTGCACAGGAGGGGATCCTCATACCACCAAGAATGTAGTAAATAAAAAAGAACCATAAAAAACACAACACAACACGTTTGAGAACAAATGAATTCCAAACTTTGCTTGATTGAACTTGAAAGAGAATAATGATGTATATAACTTATGGCAGAGTGAAATGAGGCAATACATTTGTGGAATTGTATGTGTAGCTGGGAGCAGGAAGAAGTCATGCATGCTCCCTGTGGTGTTTAAAGTACTATTCCAGAGCACAGCTCAGTGGCACTCAACGGAGACAGATGAGCTGATGCAAATGGAGCTTCTGTGATAATGAAACTCCGATAGGAAGCATGGTTTAGACTAGCAACATGTGAGAGTCAAAGCTGTAATAAATACTGGCCAGCCCAAAAATAAAGTCGCCAACTGGATTTAACTAAGCAAACAGGTACGAGCCTCCAACTGGATAATTACTGCATGGACACTTATCTTTCAGCTGGCAACAAGTTATTTAAACCAAACCGGTGCACTTAGTTGCTTCTCATTTCTTAAACAATCATGTGGAAAGACACACATCTGGTGGTCGTGGAGAATACGTTAGTCTGTGTGAGAAGGGTCAGATCGTTGGCATGCATCAAGAAGACAAAATATCTAAGGAGATTGCAGAAATGACTAAAACTGGGTTAAGAACTGACCAAGGAATTATTAAAAACTGCTCTGATGAGTCCAGATGGACCCCGTTCTAGCGTGATGGGAACATCAGGGTAAGAAGAGAGGCAGATGAAGTGATGCACCCATCATGTCTAGTGCCTAATGTACAAGCCTGTGGGGGCAGTGCTATGGTCTGGGGTTGCTGTAGTTGGTTAGGTTCAGGTTCAGGCAGTGTTAGTCTAATGTCTACTATAGTTAAAGTCCCATTAGTTGTCACACACACAAGTGTGTGTGCGAAATTTGTTCTCCGCATTTGACCCATCCCCTGGGGGAGCGGTGAGCTGCAGACACAGCCACGCTCGGGAACTATTTGATGGTTTAACCCCCCCAATCCAACCCCTTAATGCTGAGTGTCAAGCAGGGAGGCATTGGGTCCCATTTTTTCAAAGTCTTTGGTATGACCCGACCAGGAATCGAACCCCTGATCTCCCAGTCTCAGGGCGGACACTCTACCACTAGGCCACTGAGAAAGGTCTACTATAGTCCTATAGATATATTTTTACTTTTATTTAATTCGTTCACCAGACAAATCGGTTTTAGCATGAATATTAAATGCTCAGGTCTTCAGTGTGAGAAAAGCTTAAATCTTTAGTTTGCACCACTCTATCAGAATATGAAGTCGAATATCTACTCTTAAGCTAGTCATTTTCACAGATATGTCATTGAGACCTCCCTCCCATTTATAGGCACCACAGCCTGAGACTTGATACTTAACATAGTGAAAAAGTGTTTCATGCTTTGATTTAATCTGAGACTGTAACCCTTTAAAATTGGTGTTCATCAATATTTCTTCTCTGATAAATAGTGTGTTTGATATACCGTAAATCCTCTAATACAGGGGCCTGTATTAGAGGATTAACGGTAGATCCTTCTAGGGATCTACAACCCCCCAAGGTGCTTTACAGCCCAATCAGTTATTCACCCACACCCACACACATTCACACACTGGTGGGGATGTAACAACAGCTGCCCGGGGACGCACTGACAGAGGCAAGGCTGCTGAACGCTGCTGCACCTGGCGGGTTAACTGTCTGGCCCTAGGACACAACAGCTGTGAGAGATGGGGCTCAAACCTGAACTCCCCTACAGGGCAGGCACTATGGACTTGGGGCTGCTTTTTCCACTCTCTCTGTCCAGAGACGGTTGTATATTATGCAGTGTGTGCTTAAAAATGAATGAAGTGGACAAGTCGAGGACAAAAAAGTGTTAGGCTTGAGAAAGAGCAGTTGTCTGAAAGACATGTCTTGAAGGAATAAGAAGTCAACTGCAAAGTCTGAACAAATGGTAAATGGCCTGTGTTTAGAGTGCCTTTGTAAGGTACTACAATCCCCCACGGCGCTTCACAATACAATCAGTCATCCATCTATTCACACACACACACACACACACACACACACACACACACACACACACACACACACACACACACACACACACACACACACACACACACACACACACACACACACACACACACACACACACACACACACACACACACACACAATGGTGGGGATGAGCTACGATGTAGCCACTGACAGAAGGGAGACTGCTGAACACCAGCACCACCGGTCCCTCCGACCACCACCAGCAGGCAAGGCGGGTTAAGTGTCTTGCTCAAGGACACAACATGCTTGCCAATCTGTGTTCTATTTTCTATATATGTACTTCTTTGTCAAATTGATCAAATGATTAGATTTTTTTATTCCTGTTATTCACTAAATTAACATTTGCAAATTTTAGGGTTCTTTTGATGCCTAAGTGAGTCACAGGCCAGAGTTACTGCTAACAAACAAAAAAAGAAGAAAGAATAAACACATCAATTGGTCAGGAATTTTAAATTGAGAAACAAAAGTGAGTAAAATAAAAAATAGTCAACAGAAAAACCCAAACCCTAAAAACTTTAAGTTCATGATTTCAAGACCAAGTGTAAACAGTAGCTTAGCTTTTATGCTTCATTCATATATGTGTAGCAGTAGCAGTAAGAAGTCTGTTAGCCTGGCTAACAGAACTCCCAATCCCTTATCTTGGTTAAATGTTTCTTCTGTTAGAAATATCTGCCTTTTATTTGCCCATTAGCCATTAAAACACTTGCTGTAAAGAGCTTTATTTTGAAGTGAAAACCATCTCTGATCCTCATTGCTATTCTCAGCACATTAAAGGATCCAAATACCATGACTGCATAGATTTGTAGCCAAGGGACAGAAGGCTTGTAGCTGAGAATTTATTTAAACATGTTTAAAATTCATCCTTGTCTTGTAATTTCAGTGTAGCCTTAACTAAAATGAAGGACAAGTGTATCAAGTCAGGGTGTTTTGGTCACTTCATTTGTACGAACAGGAAAAAAAGCTATTTTTAAAAACTGAATACTTAAAATATTGATATGCTGTTAATTACAAATAACCTGAAAATATCTGAATATGAATAAACTAACATTGGATTATAAATAAACTCTATTTGCAGATTTTAATGGAAAGGTGTTATAAGACATTCACTAAGCTTTTAGTGGCACCCGCACCCCATGCATAAAAACTGAATAGAAGAAAGTGAGTAAACGTTAAAATAAGGACCCTTAGCTAATTTTATGTATTTGGGCTGTTTATGTTCTCTTGTGGGGTTTACGTAAGTGTTTGAGTGCTCTGAGTTGTTTGGTTTGTGCCCATCACATAAGTGTTTGCCACCGTGAGCAGACATCCTTTAGTTCAGTCAGTAAGCTTTTACCATAATTGAGGGACCCCTTCAAAAAGCCCGCAGACACCACCCCGACCCCACAGGGATTAGCCACAGTGCCTTTTGCTGCTGTAGGCAGATGTGGTCTCTGTGATTCACTTTAGATGGATTCTTTGTCTTTACATTTTTTACTTGATATTAACCTTGAGTTTCATTTCACTACCTCCGAACTTCTGTCAGTGACAGCTGTATTGATTTCTCTCTAATGAGCATGATTCGTTTAGCCATTTTATCTGTGGCATTTTAGATCGTGATGTTGCTGCTGAAAGTAAAGTTTTTACTTAAGTCTTTCAAAAGTCTCAGATTAACTATTTCAATTTTAGGGCTTAAAAAAATCTCAAGTCCATCCAGAATTTCTACAATTGGTTTATTTAGTTATGATTGTTTCAATAATTTCTTCTTTCATTCAGAGGAATAATTAGGGTTCCAAGCCCAACGGGCTTTGTAGGGATTTTTCATTATTCCACATGGACGCAGGAGCCAGAAAATGCCAGAAAAAATCTGACATGGCAGCAGTGTTGGGAAAGTTACTTTAAAAAAGTAATTAGTTATAGTTACTAATTACTTTGTCAAAAAGTCACTTAGTTACTGGGTTACGAGACTATAAAAGTAACTAATTACCAAGAAAAAGAACTACTTAGTTACATTTTTCATTAAAGAATGCAAGAAAAATGGGTTCATTGAACTTACTTAATTTGCTATAAATTACTACAATAGTGAAATATAAATGACTAATGACTGGAACATAGTAAAATATATGTCCAAATGTTTTTATAAACCTGAATAATTTAAATAACTAAGCACTTAACAGGAGGAACTACTAACAGGAACATTACACTTATCTAGACTATTAAAAGGTCACTGTGTAATATTTAACAAGACCCCAATCAGCTAAAAATTTAAATTTGCAAATAGAAACACCTGTAAAGGTTCCCGAGCCTTTAAATGTTCTCTCAGTCTAGTTAAATTACAGAAATAAATGTAATTTTGCACTGTATTTTTTATTTTTCCAGCTTCACACAATTGTGTGTTTTTAGTAGCATTTCTGTTGCTGGTAATCTAGTAATGGTTAGATAAATAAATAAAATCCTTTAAAATGACACTAGAAGAGGCACAAACCTGATGGAGGACTTAAATGTACTAACATGGGTCAGATCCAAACACAGAAGAGCTGAAGCTGGGTGGTAAACACACACAGGTAGTTTTAATAACACCTGAGCTCGATGACGTTTGAGACTGATGCATCAGTGTTACAGAGGGACTAAAGATATGATCAGAAACAGGTTACAGCTGGATGATCTAGGAAGGTAGAAGATCAGGACGTCTGAGCGGTGAACAGGTGAGCGGACCTTCAGGACGTCCCGCTGTCATGCTAAGAAGGGCACGGCTGCAGATCCACACCAGCTTTGAACAAACAAACCAAAAAATAAAAAAATCAAGCACAAAAATATTATACATGGGTTATTTACCCAATGTTGAATACGACTCAAAAATCTTTAAGTAAAAAAAAAATATATATATTAATAATAAATGAAGTCATTATGGTATTTATTTTCCAAAATGTTAAAAAGCATAACATATGTCATTAAGAAAAATAATCTATCTCATTTTGGTGTAGTCTAAGCCCTAAATCTGTATCAGGAGTCTTAAAAATTAACTCTATAAAACTCACGGACATTCCTAGAAAAGACAAGAAAATATTTGAGTGCTCCGAGTAAACCTATGTTGTACTTCTCACATTCCTTTGAGCTTTCCTGTAGCCTGCCAAGTTCTGTCCCATGATAAATATTGGAGGACAAAGGTCAAACGACTAATTTCATTCCTCTTATTTTGGTCTAAAAATACGAGCGCTGCTCGAGCTAAAGTGCAACCATAGCTACCAATCTACAACCCTGTCAGCGGCGATAAGACCGATCATCAAACATGCAGATTATTCTAGGCTGTTTTAAAACAGACGTTTTTTTAACGTGTGTCAGCCAAATCTGAGTCAAGGTTAGAATCATAAAGCAAGAGTATGATTACTGACATGCTAAAGCAGATGAGGGAATTGCACTGCTAGTTGTTGAACATGTTTCACAGGGGTATTCAGTTCTTGGCCTGGAGGGCCGGTATCCAGCACATTTTAGTTTTACCCTGCTTCAGCACACCTGATTTCAATCAGCAGGTAATTAACAGGCTTCTGCTGAGCTTGATGAGCAGCTGCACAGGTGATTCGACCACTGAATTAAGTTTGTTGGAGCTGAAAAACCACTAAAACGTCCTCCAGGACCGGAATTGTATACATGGATGTATTGTGTTTGTAATTTGATAAAAAAAAAAAAGGTAGAAAAACAAAGAAACTTTTTAAACTCATCTTTGTTACACCTATCTCTCTAACAGTTTTTTTTTCTCTCTCTCTCTCTTTCTGTCTTCAGGCCACTCACAAAGTCCTCTGAATAAGGTCACCCTGACACTGATTACCATCAGCACATGTGTCATTGCCATTGTCTATGCTACGCAGGACTCCTGCCCCCTTACCGTCAAGGTTACCCTCCATGTGCCAGAGCATTTTGTTGCAGATGGTAAGTGCTGCACACACATTAGCACTTGGCTGTCCAACACATCCCATATGCAGAACAGTTTTTTTTTTTTTTTTTGCAAATGTCTCCCAATGTTTATGCAGTGGAGTAAAATGCAACATGGTGCACATTGTCAGGATGGACTGGTTGTTTTGTTTGTATTTTTAGGCACAGCAAAGAAATCTAAATAAAGTCGGCTTTTTGGCTATGTTCTACTGCTTGCTATAAACAATATATATTTACAGGATTTATAACTAAAACAAGCACAAACAAAAATTGCACAGCAGATTTGTCTGTTGGGTCTTTGGAGAAAATATATGTATTTAGTTTTTAGCGAAGCATTTAATAGACCAAGGGCAACTCAGAATGCTTTCATTAAGGAGGGCAGATTGCCTGTTGTGTTATCTAATGGGCCATTCCCATCTGTACCGGGTCGGCCCGGGCCGGGTAGCGTAGGTTGTTAACATATCTGGGTAGCCTGGTATTTTTCCGGGCCAACCAAGGCTCATTCTCAGCCCTCTTCTGGAAGGGGTCTGCTTCAGGCCGACCAGGGCCAACACACCCACTGCTGACACCAAATTCACACCTTCCATTAGAGCAAGCCTCTGATTGGTGGATAGAATCAGCCCACATGGGCTGTAGGCAAGGATGTGTGGAATCAACCAGGCCGACTGGGGCTACCCGGCCCGGGCTGACCCGGTACAGATGGGAATGGTCCATAATAATCTAATCTTGAAAAGTGATAGATTGTGGACGATTTAGTTGAATCTGTTAATGCTCAGCAAGTGACAGAGATGACTGCCATCTACTACAAAACCAAATTGTAAGGCAAGACAAGGCAGCTTTTTTTGCATAGCACATTTCATGCACAGAGGCAATTCTTAGTGTTTTCCAGGAACAAGAACAGCAAAATCAATGTGACCTCATACACAAATACATTTAAATCAAAATAAATACACAAATTACATTCAGATTCAATCATCAAATAAAAGGTAAAGCTAATTGGTGAGCAGATACAGTGCAGAAGGTGCAGCATAAGAAACATCCATAGCCTTTTTATTGTAAAACTAAATGTATACACATTTTTGGATTGCTAAGAACGATTAGCTGCAGACCATCTTGAATTGAGTGAGCTTCAGTAGTAAGTTTTGTAACAATCAATCAAGAGAGTTTGCTAGTAGTTAAAGTTGGCTTGAATATTTGATGCCAAAGTTTTAATATCTTGCACAAGATTAAGCTAATTCTACTTAGTGGCACTGCAAGGTTGTCACAGGGCTCCCAGCAAAAAGTCCTGCTTTCTGTCAAAGACTAGGAAGTGCATTGCTGTTTCTCTGTATGGTGGGGTGGGTGGTGTTATTGTTGCAGCATGAACAAGATTCTTCATAGGGTGCAGATGGGGAAGAATATGGGCGGTCTCTTGCTGAGCAGTGAGGGGATGGAACGGAAGGGAGTGCGAGATGGTCAACAGCACTGTCAAATAACAGCTTTTCACTTTCTCATGTGACATGTTGCACCTGTCTGTTGGCACATGGCACCTCTGGAAATGTGTGTACCACAACCACAAATTTTTAGCTCACTGCTACAACCAAGATGTAAAATGCTGAAGGAGGGTGCAACATAAAGAAGACGTGTGCGAGCATGGGAAAGGAACAAGGAATTAATTTTACCATGGGGTGGTAATCCTGGGAACTGGCAACACTAACTGCAAACACAAATATAACATATATAAAGGTATTAAACACATAATACCTTTCGTCTAAATGGACTACAAATAAATAAAAATAACCTGAAGGGAGAAAATACTGGGACTTAGTTAACTGTTAAACTAAAGAGGAGAAATGCTCCACCAAAGACAATTAACTTAAAACAGACAGCAATTCTGAGGTTGCACTCTTCAATAGTAACTAAGAAAACTTACAACTAAACAAATGGAACACAACTATAGAAGCTCCAGTGCTTAGCAAACAAATAACCAAAGCTCTACAGCAATTTAAGTAAACACAGTTTTAAGGCGATTTACAGTTTTTTTCGATTGCTAAAACACGTTTTTCAAAACCATACGTTTCTTTTAAAACTGCACACACAAAACCCCAAACATAACACACAAATTCCTAAACCGTGGCTTCCCTTTGTAACAAAACCCTGCCACCACACATCGTAACATGTTCCCAAAATGGAACACGTGTTTTCATTTGGTAAACACAGCCACATTTTCACATGACACACACATACCATTCATTGCTTAAACACAAGTAGCCTTTGGGTGAACACTACCAAGCATGGAAAGAACACTGAAGAGCAAAACTGAAAACACAATTGTCTAAATGGAACACAATGAATTACACACTGAATGTATGACAGGGCCCACTTTTCTCTGAGACAAACATTAGACATCACACAAATTTTGAGACAAAACATTTTATTTTTACAGTTAACCCCCCCCCCCCCCCCCCCCAGCATAATCATGAGGCATAATCATGGACATCATGCCTCCTGTCTCTGTCTGGCCAGATGGCCTCATCAACATCACAGGCGATGTAGAAACAGCTCTGGAAGTACCGCCTCGAGTGCCTCATGAAGCCCTGACAGGCCTCAAGGGCCACATCTCTACAAGCCTCCTCCATGGCTTGAAGCAGTGGGACCTGGCTCTGTGGATCCCTTTCGTACACCTTCCACCTCCAGGCTGACAAAAACTCCTCAATGGGATTGAGGAAGGGGGAATAAGGTGGAAGGTATAAAATGGAAAACCGTGGGTGGTCTTGAAACCACTCATGCACCTAGGTAGCCTTGTGGAAACTTACTTTTGTGCTGCAGTCCCTGATTGCAAATTGCTCGCCAGACCCGAACGTTTAGAGATTTGTATATTTGTGTGTTGTTGATTGAAGCTTTGAGAATTTATGTGGAAAGTGTGTGTGAACCTGAAAATTTTGTGTTGTGTTTTGACAGCAAGGTGATGTGAAATTGACATCAGAGTGTAAAGGAGGAAAATCAGAGTTCTAATATGATAAGGAAATCTTAAGTAGTGATAAACTGAGTCAAGCGATTGGGAACAGAAGTAGAGATTGTGAACATTGTGCCTCATTTTTGCTTTTTGAGTTTTAGCAATCGAAAAAAACTGTAATCAGAAACTACACACAAGCAGACACAGGCGCTGTCCGCAGTGCTGATCTCCAGCTCCCGCGAACAAGCAGGGAGCAGCCATAACACTCACCTTCTCGTGACAGCCAACTTGAAGTAAACGTTCTTGAAGTAAACGTTCTATTTTTTTATACTTTATTTTAAAGAAAAAAAAACATCAGTGGTTCAGGAGATATTTTGTCTTATAGCAGTCATATAAGTGATTGATTTTATAGCAATATGTGTGATCAAGGTAGAGAATAGTAGTTGAATCAGTAGAGAACAATGTTGCTAAAGACACACCAGAGCAACTAACCTACAAGCAGATAACACTAAAAATAAATCGGCCATAGGAGAAAACCACATTATGGACTGGGACAGCACACAGATCGGAACAGAACAACAGACATACAGAAAATGTATAAAAGAGGTGATCAAGATAAGGAGACGTAGACCGTGGACCATGAATAGGGATGAAGGAGCTTATACACTGGATCATTCATTGAACGTGGTGATTCACAAGGAAGGTGCGGCAGTAGAGGGCGGCGGCATCCTCTACTGCCCGAAGATAAATGGAAAAGGATTCAACACCACCAAAGCTCTGATGGAGGCGACTGGAAGTAGCTGAAACTGTCAGCAAAATAAGGCTAAAACTTTACTACTTTTAGACAAGAAAGGAAAACCAGCAAAAATATAAAAGAAACAGAACATACCAAGGAGGACTTGTGTTCTTTCTGGTGTTATATAAATAAACTGAGTTACATTGAATTAAACTGGGTTATTTTAGCCCTTTTTGTGATATTTAGCTGCAGCAGTCAGTGATCACCTTCTGAAAGATTCAATTAAAATCCATTCTGTTGTTCATAAGATGTTTTCTAACAAACGGGCTGAAAAAGATGAATGCAGGTTCCACAAAAATGCTTCTCTTCCATTGACCTTGATTTTTTAATTAATTTATTTATTTTATGTTTATGTTTATTCATTTAGCAGATGCTTTTATCCAAAGCGACGTACAATTTATAACCTATAGGGCATGTTGTGATCTGTGGGGGAAACGGGAGCACCCGGAGGAAACCCACGCATGCATAGGGAGAACACGCAACTCCACGCAGAAAGGCCGCAGCCGAGTTTCGAACCTGCAACCTTCGTGCTGCGAGGCAACAGTGCTAACCACTGCGCCACCATGCAGCGGTTATTTTAATTCCTTGAATTTAAGTGAGAAAGTCCAACAGATGCTAAACCATCAAACAAAACCTAATTAAAAGATGGGTGAATAAAACAGTGAATTACAAGCATCAGGACTACATAGCCCAGGCACAAAATGTTCCTAAAGTGGGCAAAACAGAAAAAGATTCACCACCAACACAAATAAATGAGTGACATTTGCAACCACTCAGCCTACGAAGAGTGCTGTGGCCGACATATAATAATTTCTCATTTTTCAATATTTTTGTTAAGCTCTGACCTTCAGGTTTCATTACTGCCTGACAGCCTGTATTCTGTTTTATTATGCTCATGCCAAATGTCACATCAGATTTCTGCTTCAAAGTAAAAACGATGTCATTCTGTTACATGATGCAATGTTGGAAAAACAGACATTCACAAAATAATGTCCAAAGTTAAACGTACACAATGGAAACATCTATAAGGATCTGTGTGAGGGTGGAAAACTGTAATCTAAAGAATAAATCTGTTTTAAATTACTCTTTGGCTTTTAGATAAATCTAAATTGTGTTTTTAGTGGCACGCTAAAACTCTAAATGGGAGTAGAGGCCAAAACAGAACATGTGCAAGGAGTTAATTGGAAAAAAAGAGAAAAAGGAGAGCTGAGGGTCTTTTTTCCAATGATTGCCATGTTTCTGGGAGCCATGCATTCACTTATCAGC